TAATTTTTTTTTTTTTTTTTTTTTTTTTTTTTTTTCTGGGATGTTTGGTCTGTTTTATTGATTTTCCTTATATATTCTGGCTATAAACCCCTTTTCAGTTATATATATTGCAAGCATATTTTCCTATCTTATGGATTGTGTTTTTATTCTTCCTAATGGTATTTTTAAATGGTCATAATTTTGATGTAGTCAAATTTGTTTTTCTTTTCCATTATAACTCGTGCTTTTTTACATTATTTTAAAATGTCTTTTCCAAAAGCTATATAGCTTTTATAGTTTTGCTTTTCAAATATAGGCTTATGATCCAGTTAGAGTTGGTTTTTGTATATGTTTTATGTGGGGCTCAATTTAATTTTTTCCCTCTATTGAAACCCATTTTCCTCAGTACCATTTATTGAAAATATAATAATTTCCCTACTGCTCTGCAGTGTGGCTTTTTATACACATCCAGTGCTGTTACATAGACTTGATTTCCAGGTTCTCTATCCCAGCCTATTTGTTTACTATAGCTCTTTAATGAGTTTTGATACTTGATAGAACAAATATACCAGTAAATTTTATAATTAGCTCAAGTTTCATGTAGACATATGCACATACAAACAAACTCTCAAACAAAGTAATCACAAAAAACTGCAATTACTTTTGCACCAACCTAATATTTAGGATTTTGATTGGGATTGCATTGAATCTCTAGATCAATTTGGGGAGAATTTACATCTTTACAATTTTGAGTCCTCTAATCCATGAACGTGGTATATATTTCTCTCTCCATTAATTTGGGTCTTATTTCATGTAAAGGAGTGGTTCTTAATCAAACTGATTAAGAAGCTGGCAATGTTTGGAGACATTTCTGGTTGTCAGGGGTGCGGGGTTCCATAAGCATCTGGTGGACAGAGGGCAGGGATGCTGCCAAATATCCTACAACAAAGAATTACTTAGCCCCAAATGTCGGTGAGCACTATGGATGAGAAACCATGTTTAAAGGCCTTGTAGATCTTTGCTTAGATTTATTCCTACTTATTCCTATTTTATTATACATAATTTTATTTTCTGGCTAATTGTAGTTATTGTATAGGAATAAAAATGATTTTGTATATTGAATTTGTATTTGGCAACCTTGCTGAACTTTATTATGCATTCTAATATTACATCTATAGAGTCTTTTGGATTTTCTATGTACACAATAATATCTTATTTTTTTTTGAGATGGAGTCTCCCTCTGTCAACCCAGATGGAGTGCAGTGGCATCTCAATTGACTGCAATCTCTGCCTCCTGGGTTCAAGTGATTCTCCTCCCTCAACCTCCTGAGTAGCTGGGATTACAGGTGTGCACCACCACACCAGGCTAATTTTTGTATTTTTAGTAGAGATGGGGTTTCACCATGTTGGCCAGGCTGGTCTCAAACTCCTGACCTCAGGTGATCCACCCACCTTGGCCTCCCAAAGTACTGGGATTACAGGTCTAAGCCACTGTACTTGGCCCACAATATTATCTTCTAATACAGAGAATTTTATTTCTTGTTTTCCATTTCTTATACCTTTTATTTCTTTTTCTTACCATATCAGTTAAGATTTCTGGCACAAAGTCAAAGTGGTGAAAATCAGCTTTCTTATATTATTCTTAAACGGGAAAGCTTTTGGTCTTTTTTGTGCTTTACATTATTTTTAGATTTCCATTAGCAAATCAAGTTGATTTTCTTAGTTTGCTAGATTTTAAAATATATTACTTTTTATGCATTTATTGATATTATAATTTTTTTCTCCTTTGTTCTGTTAACATGGAAATTTTTATTTTATTTTTTGATATGGAGTCTTGCGCTGTCACCCAGGCTGGAGTACAGTGGCACAAACTCAGCTCACTGCAACCTTCACCTCTCAGGTTCAAGTTATTCTCCTGCCTCAGCCTTCTGAGTAGCTGAGATTACAGGTGCACACCACCATACCTGGCTAATTTTTATATTTTTAGTAGAGATGGAGTTTCACATTGGTCAGGCTGGTCTTAAACTCCTGACCTCAAGTGATCCACCCGCCTTGGCTTCCCAGAGTGCTGGGATTACAGCTGTGAGCCTCTGCACCCAGCCTGTGGAAAATTAGACTGACTCGTTTTTAAAATATTTTATTTCAAACATATCCAAATGCACTGAATGTAGAGAGCGCAACACATTCCTATGAACCTATCACCCAGGTTCAGCAACTATCCACATTTTTCCATACTTGTTCTCTCTCTCTTGCTTTACCCCACTCTCCCTTTTGTGCTCACACTTCTGTTGGAAAATTCTAGGTCTCATGTCATGTTATTTATAAAGTCTCTACTATGTACCTCACAACAAATAACACAGAAATATAGTTTACAGTTTCAATAAATGTGCATCTGCTATAAAGAATCTCTGTTTCTGTTTGCTTTAAAACATCTTTATTTCGCCTTCTTTTTTCAACCTAATAAACCTTATTTCTCATAACAAATTTTATGTTCACAGCAGACTTGAGTGGAAAGTACCTAGAGAGTTCTCATACACCTCCTGTCCCCCAATAAACACAACTTTCCCCACTGTTGACATCCTGCACCACAGTGGCACAAACTACATTGACATTATCACCCAAAGTTCATAGTTTACATTCTGTTGTACATTCTATGCATTTTGACAAGTGTACAATGACATGTATCTATTATTCTGCTCTAATGTCACACAGAATTTCACTGTCCTAAAAATCACCTCTGCCCCATTCATCTCTCTTCCCCACTAACCCCTGGCAACCACTGATTTATTTTTTTAACTATATTCATTGTTTTGCCTTTTATAGAATGTCATGCAACATTGGAATCATATAACACTTAGCGTTTTCAGATTTCACCTTTGTTCTTAAAGGATATTTTCACAGGATTAAGAATGTTAGATTGGCAGTTATTTTCTTTCAACAGATATCTTGTTGTCTTTTACTCTTTCAATTGAGAAGTCATCTGCTAGTCTTACTGTTGTTCCTTTGAAGGTAATCTGTCTTTTCCCCTGGATGCTTTTTACGATTTTCTCGTTGTCTTTGTTTTTTGTAGTATTGCATGATATTTCTAGATGTGGATTTCTTTTCATGTATCCTACTTGGAATTCATGGGTCATCTTGTATCTGTAAGTTGATGTCTTTCGTTAGTTCTAGAAAGTTTTCAGTTATTTTTTCTTTGTTACCTCTACCATGTTCTCTCCACTGTTTTGGGTACTCCAGTTAAATATATTTTAGATTTTCTTACTGATCCTCTGTCTGTCTCTTATCATTTTTGTGTATTTCCCATCCTTTTTGTCTTCCCATGTTTGGTTCCAGATATTTTATTATCTCTTCTGTTATGTCTGTTGTTAAACCCATCCACTATTATTTTCAGTTATTTTATTTTATAGACCTAGAATTACTATTAGATTCTTTTTACAAATTTTTTAGTGCTACATGTGCAGGATGTGCAGGTAAATGTGTGCCTAGGTGATCAACCCATCACCTAAGTATTAAGCCCAGCATGTATTAGCTATTTTTCCTAATGCTCTCCCTTCCCCTACTCCAATCCTCCTTGATTCTTTTTCAAATAGGTTTTGGTGCATGCTGTCTGTACTTGGGGCCTGGAGAGTTTATGTCCTCCATTGATAAACCCAAGTGCATTGCTTGACTTGCCTATCAGGGGAGGGAGATGTTGAGAACAAGGTTAAATGCCCACTTGCCAGGACATCAGCCAGACCCGAGGAGAAAAAAATCCACCAAAGATGCTAGAAGTACAGAGAAAGGCCGGGCGCGGTGGCTCAAGCCTGTAATCCCAGCACTTTGGGAGGCCGAGGCGGGTGGATCACGAGGTCAAGAGATCGAGACCATCCTGGTCAACACGGTGAAACCCCGTCTCTACTAAAACTACAAAAAATTAGCTGGGCATGGTGGCGCGTGCCTGTAATCCCAGCTACTCAGGAGGCTGAGGCAGGAGAATTGCCTGAACCCAGGAGGTGGAGGTTGTGGTGAGCCGAGATCGCGCCATTGCACTCCAGCCTGGGTAACAAGAGCGAAACTCCGTCCCCAAAAAAAAAAAAAAAAAAAGTACAGAGAAATTGGTTTCTACCCTGGTGCTTAATATTGGTGACCTGGGCTTGAAATGCTACCACAGAGGAAGGCAAGAGTTGGAGATTGTCAGCTCATTCCTGAAGGCTCTCCCCTCTCTGGAATTGGTTTTAAAGCTGTCCAGTGATTTTAAAATTCTTAATTTTGGTGGTAAATTTCCTTTTTTTTTTTTCTATTTATTTCAGCAGGACTTTTAGCCTGTGCAGACTTCTATATTCTACACAAAAGTGGAAGTCTATTATACTCTCTCGATAGTTAGTTTTCATTCCCCATCCTGAGTTTTGTTGGAATAAACAGTACTACTTTGTTTCTGCCTCCCGTAGTGATTTGGAAGTTTTATGTATTATTTCTGGTTTTATGGTTTCTTTATCATTTTAACAAACATTTTTATTTAAACACCAGTCATTACATAACCCCCATTCCCACAAGACAAAGGCTTCATGTTGCTTTGGTGGCTTCATCTCCCCTCTGGCTCCTCCACTGATGTTCCTCCTTCAGGCTGGTCTCCAGTCCGTTGTCTGCTCAGTAGCTGGAGTGGTCTTTTTGAAGTGACCAGCTCTCCTCCACTGGAAACCCTTCAGTGCCATTCCCCTTACAACAAAGCCCAGGCCCTCAACATGGCACATGAGGCACCATCTGGGCCCTGCCACCCTTCCGGCTTCATCTCAAAAGTCCGATCGGCCTAAAGAAAAGAAAGAATGATTAACCACAGAAACCTCTGGGTCAGGTCGGCATGTTCATAACTCCCTGACCTGCCAGGGTGTTGCCTGCCTTTGCTCTGTCTGTCACTGGCCATTCAAGTGCAGGCAAGAGGGCAGTTATCACAGAGATGTAGAACTCTCCAGCCCTTTACCAGCTCTTCCTCCATCAGGAAGCCCCTTGAGGGCAGGGACTGTGTATTAATCTTGGTGTTCCCAGCACTTAGCTGGAACATAGTAGATGATGAATAAGTGGTTGTTGAATGAATTAATGGAGGAAGAAAAGAGAAGGCTTATTTCCCTGGATAGGGCTAGGCTTCCTGGTACAGAAATGGTGGCAGCCCTGGTGAAATCCCTCCGGTAGGACACACCCAGAGGATGTCTCACATGGCTGATGAAGTAAGTAAAGGACTTGAGAGCAAGGTGGTGAGGTGAGGCAGAGACAGTTTGATTACAAAAGCCAGAATCCTTTTCAAATGAAAGTCGGGGAGAGGGGCTAGATATATTAGCACTGGTATGTCATGGAAGCCAAACCAGGAAGGGAGCCAGCCAGCTCAGGGGACTGACTGGGAGGCCAGTCCCTGCCTCTTTGGGGCTATGTGGCACTCACCATCACTTCTCTTTGTGAACCTGCTCCGTTTCTCTTTGCACACAGGCTTTCTCTGCTTTCCTAAGTATGCTGGAAAGTGGAAGCACCATCCTGCCTGACTTTCTGGTTTGATCATTCAGAGGTTGCCTGGAAGCCCCTTTGTCCCAACTGCAGCCATAGGAATTGAGGCCCTGGACCTGGTTCCTCAGCCAAGGCTGGGGAAGCATCCCTGAGTCACCGCCTCCCTAGGGATTGGGCCAGCAGAGATACGGTCAGGGCAGGCAGATTGAGGCACAGCTACCAGTGATGGCTGCTCAGTCGTTCCTTCTTAAAAGTGACTATTGAGTTCATTACGTTAATCTTCAAAATTATTTGATGGTACAGTTCCATTTGTGCTGAATCAAGATAAGTTTTTCTGTTTTTCTTCACAGTCCTGAAAAGCTCATCTGTGCAGAAAAGAAACACAAAAGAGAAAAAGACAACCGACCTAAGTCAGGCTGAGTTTGAAAAGCAGTTCCTTTCCTCAGAGCTCAGCCAGAAGAACAAAGTGGGTGACAGGAAGGGTCTGGTGAGCAGACACTCCCCCCGTCCCCACCACACACAGAGGATGGGCCTGCAGCTGCTCTCCAGCCTGTGAACCTGGTTAGGGATTTTGTGAGGCGGGGCTGGGATGCAAGGCTTTGCAGCCCCCATGAGCAGCACGTACGGGTTCTAGAATGAGCCAGCGCCACAGCTCTCCCTGTCAGACGAGCACCCGAGGGCAGAGCAGGCATGGCCCAAGAAGAAGGCCTGAAAAGGAGGAGGAAGAAATGGTGGGTGGCCTCAGGCTCAGGGCCGCAGCTCTGACGGAGACCCTTGGGTGGGGAAGCCTTGCAGGAAGAAACTCAGATAAGTGGTAAATGTGGGACCTGGACCCCACTTTCTGGAGACAGATCCTGTCCTTCCAAGGTGAGGGCCAGCCTGGCCACAGGGGCTTTTCTCTCTGAGATTTCTTCAGCGCCTTCACCTGGGCCTTTGCCCTTCTGCCATTTTCCCGCCATTTTCCACTTAGTCCATCCAAACCGCACCAAAAATGGTGTTCTCTTTAGTTGTTGTATTTGACTGGAGCGTAGAAAGTTACCACAAGACAAAAGTATGCCAGATTGCAGGGTCATTTATTATGCCGGCGACCACAGAGGACTCACGTCTCTCCAACCTGTGGTGGCAAAAGGAGGGTGCCATGATTTTTTATACCCGAAAAACCACCTTGGGAGTGGGGGTGAGGGGCGGGGATGGGGATGAAAAGGTTTCGGACATTTCAAGGGCTAGGGGACTTTTGTCATTCTGTTTGTTACCTCAGTGGTTTACAGAAGTCAAGATATACATTTGTTTACACATCACAGATTTTAGCAGTTACTGATAAGAAAAGGTAAGCAGCTTTACATAGTTTTGAAGAACAAACTAGCAGTTCTATTTACAGAGGCCAAGGACAGTAGTTATTGTGAGGAGAATGGGGCAGCCGTTTCAACTTATCTAAAAACAGTTTTGCATTTTATAAAATAGTTTTGCTCCGGTTCTGGCTCTAGGCCAGCACAATATCATATAGTCTGCACACAACAGGTGGGAAGTTTTTGAAGTGAAATTTGTACCAAAAAATTAGGGCAAGATGAGATTTTTTTAAGTATTTAAAAGGTCTTTTATATGTAGGAATTTTCCGAGTACAGCTTTCTTATCCAGAGCTCATGGCTGATTTGACAGTTTTCCCCTTCATTCTCTCTGCCACTCCATGTACCCTGAGGCCTGAAGCGCAGGACCCTCCCGGGAAGGCCTAGGCTTGGCTCACCCCTCACCACCACGCACAGAGGATGGGACTCAGTTGCTCTCCAGCCTGTGAACCTGGTTAGGGATTTTGTCACCAGCTCCTGCTCTGCCCCATTGCTGTCCCCAGGCTCTCTAGGGAGTAAAGGCATCTCCGTCTGTGGTAAGTTACCTGTGACTCTTCAGCTGTTTCCTCGGAGCATAATTTATCTGAGAGCACAGGAGCTGCTCATTCCTTTCAAATATTCAAAATGTACAACGTGGTGATTTGCTGTAGATACTCATTGTGAAATGTTTGCTACCGTCAAGCTCATCCACATATCCACCAACTCAGTTACTGTTTTCGTGTGTGTGCGGTGAGAATACTCATGATCTACTCTGAGCAAATTGCAAGTGCACGTTATTAGTAACTATAGTATCATGTTGTCCATCAGGCCTCTAGAACGTACTGTTAGCCATGGAGGTTAACACATCCCACACATTGGCCCTACATTCCCTGTCTCTAGATCCTGTTCTCCTGCCTCAGTCTTATCACGGAAAGTTTCTACCCTTTGACCAACACCTGTCCCCTCACTGCCCCCACCCCACCCCCCAACTCTGGTAACCACCCTGCTACTCTGTTTGGATGTGTTCGATGTCTTTAGATTCCACATATTGTTACAGGAAAGGGGTCCAGATCCAGACCCCAAGAGAGGTTTCTTGGATCTTGTGCAAGAAAGAATTCAAGGCGAGTCCACAGTACAAAGTGAAAGCAGCTTATTAAGAAAGTAAAGGAATAAAAGAATGGCTACTCCATAGACAGAGCAGCCCAGAGGGCTGCTGGATGCCCATTTTAATGGTTATTTCTTGACAATATGCTAAACAAGGGGTGGATTATTTGGGCTTCCCCTTTTAGACCATCAAGGGTAACTTCCTGACATTGCCATGACATTTGTAAACTGTCATGGTGCTGTTGGGAGTTGTCAGGTCTCCATATGCAAGCCTGGAGCTTGAAAGTCTGAAGTCCTGCTTCCCTCAGCTGATTGTCCCTAATCACCCAGCGCTTTAGGACAAGCCCTCACCCCACCCTGCCATCTTAACTGTTATTATGATAATACTATTATCCCACCCACCATTGTAACTAACTTATGGTAATGTATAGTCCTTGCCCCTACCCCCACCACTGTGACTGATCTTACTCTAACTTTCCACTGCCCACCCCATACCTGTAAAACCAACTCCTATCCCACTGTCCTTTGCTAATGCTCTTTTCAGCCTTAGCCCACGTGCACCCAGGTGATAAACAGCCATGTTGCTCACACAAAGCCTGTTTGGGGGTTCTCTTCATTCAAAGCACACGTTTTTAATAGGAGTGTAGCAGTGAGGATGACCAGAGGTCACTCTCGTCACCATTTTGGTTTTTGTGGGTTTTGGCCAACTCCTTTACTGCAGCCTGTTTTATTAGCAAGGTCTTTATGACCTGTATCTTGGGCCGACCTCCTATCTCACCCTGTGACTTAGAATGCCTTAACCATCTGGGAATGCAGCCCAGTAGGCTTCAGCCTCATTTTACCCAGCTCCTATTTAAGATAGAGTTGCTCTGGTTCACACACCTCTGATATGAGATCAGTCAATATTTGTCTTTCTGTGCCTGGCTTCTTTCACTTGACATAATGTCCTCCACGTTCACCTATGTTACTGCAAATGGCAGGACTTCCTTCTTTTCTCAGGTGGGTTCATGGTCCGTGGATGTGTACCATATATGTTTTCTTTTTTTATATGTATTTATTGCGTTTTAGGTTTTGGGGTACATGTGAAGAACATGCAGGATTGTTGCATAGGTACATACATGGCAATGTGGTTTGCTGCCTTCCTCCCCATCACCTATATCTGGCATTTCTCCCCCATGTTATCCCTCCCCAACTCCCCACCTCCCACTGTCCCTCCCCTAGTTCCCCCGCCACAGACCTCAGTGTGTGATGCTCCCCTCCTTGTGTCCATGTGTTCTCGTTGTTCAATACCCGCCTATGAGTGAGAACATGTGGTGTTTGATTTTCCGTTCCTGTGTCAGTTTGCTGAGAATGATGGTTTCCAGGTTCATCTATGTCCCTACAAAGGACACGAACTCATCGTTATTTATGGCTGCATAGTATTCCATGGTGTATATGTGCCACATTTTCCCTTTCCGGTCTATCATCAATAGGCATTTGGATTGGTTCCAAGTCTTTGCTATTTTAAATGGTGCTGCAATTAACATTCGTGTGCATGTGTCCTTATAATAGAATGATTTATAATCCTTTGGATATATATACCCAGTAATGGGATTGCTGGGTCAAATGGAATTTCCATTTCTAGGTCCTTGAGGAATTGCAACACTGTCTTCCACAGTGGTTGAACTAATTTACACTCCCACCAACAGTGTAAAAGTGTTCCTATTTCTCCACATCCTCTCCAGCATCTGTTGTCTCCAGATTTTTTAATGATCGCCATTCTAACTGG